CGCCTGCACCTGCACCTGCACCTGTGACTCCCATTACAGCCTTGGAGGCCTTCGGCCTCGACTTAAACGAGCGTCCGGACAGTCCGAGCATACGGATGATGTATGCGGAGCTGCAAGCGCTGCAGAAGCAGGTTGCGAGGCTGAAGGAAGGGGGTCCCTTTGGGGAGGCGCCGCCTGACTACGCGGAATCTGTGATAGGGTCTATATATGGTTAGCCAGGATGTGAGGTTGGACACTATGTGCGTAGACAGATATGCGTCTCGCTACAATGTACATACTATATAGCTTGTGTAGACTTCGACACGGACGACCTTATTGAGTTGTTATCGTCTTATTTATTGGCTCGAACCGTGACGATTCTACAAAGTTTCATTGGTGATGCTATACTGCACGAGCACAACTTGTGATGCATCTGGGTTTCGGGTCACGACTCGTGTTCACTCCGACCGTCGGAACAGACTAATTCCAAGATATTGCATGCATTGTTGTACAATGAGATAACGGCGAGAGACAGCAGTAGGGAGCGACATGGCAAACGGACGGTGCAAGTATAACCGTGACAACGAGGTGAGAACGCGCGATGGGAACATCAGCGAGTAAGAGGGAAGGCGATATTAGGAAACGTCAGTAGCACCAGCCATCTGATAGTGAAGGTGACAAACGAGGTTGGAATCGGTGTACCGAGACGGTGGGCGAGGAGCGTGCGTCAACACAGGCCGAGTGACGACTCAGAGATCGTCAGCGCTGTCCTCATCTTGCTGCGTGGGGGACACGGGAGCACCGGAGAGAGCCTTCAGACGCTTGCTGCTGCGAAATGGCTTCTTGTCGCTCAGCTTGCGCTTCAGGTTCGCAATTATTCGGTACCGGCTGGCTCGTCTTCGCTTGGTCACGAGGTTGCTTGGATTTCGATGACGGTCCGCCAACAGCAGTGGCATCCTTCGCAGCGCTCTTCCCAGTAGCCGTATGTCTTGAACCCTCATCAGACCCCTGATTGCCGCTGGCAGCTCGTCGTGATCCAACCCGACTTGCAGTGTGATTTCCTGTAACACCGTTAGCTTGCGTCCACGAAAGCTGTGTTGCGGTCGGGGTGTCCCCCTGGTTGGTGGAACGAGGGTGAGTAGGACGCAGATGATCCGGATCTAGTTGGATGGGATTGTCGCGATGGTCGATCAGATATTGCAGGATGAGGCGCTGTACAGCTTCATGGAGGTGGTCAGGCTGGAAGTTGCCTTCCCACTTCCACAGGGCGTATTCCGCACGAACATGTTGTGTAATTCGCCACAAGAGCAGGGCAACGTCCTGCATGGTCGCACCAAAGAGATCCAGCCATTGCTGCTTTACCCTGCTCATGACCTCATGACGTTTTTCATCTGATTGATCGTATTCCTCGCCCGGAATATAATGCGAGAGGAGAGTCTTCCATACAGAAGCAGACGCGGCAGACAGATCGAGTTCTCTTGGAGCACCGGCTGGCTGAACGCGTAGAAGAGCGTATACCATAGTCCAGTACACCGATTCTACGTCATGCTCCGGTCTGTGAAAGAAGGGGGGTAGTCGTGTTTCGTCGAAGTCGTCAGGATCCGGGGAGGGAGGGAGGCCACCGTGGCATGTGGGGGACCCAGGCTCATCGTTATACCGATCGTAGCGTTCCTGCCCGTAAGCAGAGGTGTACAGATACAATGCGTCACCAGTGAGCCTTGGCATGGGTTTTCCGCGAACTGACACATGGTCGAGTAGGACCATTCCAAGACTGACGCTTCGTGCGATGTACAAAGGCGTCCCCTGGAAACCATTCGATTCAAATGTCACGTTGTGGACGTCATGTAGGCTTACAACTCTCGCCTTGAGCTCGTCGAGGTCTTCAACCTGGGCAGCATAATCGTAATCAATTACTAAACATGCCGGAAGTCGTTCCGTACGGGGCCTATCCAACACTCGTCAGTATCAACCCCTTCTCAGTCGACGTAATCGATAGCTTGCCTCGGGCTCCCCCCAAGCACATCCTTGATGAATAGAGGCGCTTTGCGGGACATAGCTCTCCCACCCACATCAGCTCTCTTGGGATACATCAAGATGTTGTTGATACTCATGTCTCGGTGCAGGATCTTGCGTTCACGCAGTACAGTACGATGCACTATCAGACATTCCATCAGCCACAGCCTGCCGAGCACATATCTCTCAAACACAAGCGCACCTTCCAGAACATCGTAGATCGCCTCCAGGAGGTCGTTGACAGTCTTTGCACGAACGAGACTACAGCCCGAATCAAGCAGTACCATCCGCTCCTTCGTTCGCGCCTCCTCGTCGCCTCTCGCCCCGTATGTCAGCATCTTGTTGCCCGTCCTCACTGGTCCCGCCCATGTCAGACGCACAACTCCAGGCAGGTCCCCGTCCTCATGAATATGCACCAAGATACCTTGCTCCTTGCAACGACGAACCCGGCGTCGATAGGTGTCCTTAATGATCATCTCGCTCCCTTGACGGTCTGTTACTTGGAACACCGTCGTCCGACGGCCCCATGGATACCCTGCGAAAAGCAGTCTGCCGTGCGTGTACGACCTCCCATGACATCGAACCATCCATGTCGGTGGCTGATGGGGAGTCTCACCAGAGATCCAAGAAACGCTGTCGTCCCAAAGATGTCGGTCGCGAGGAGGGTAGTAG